TCTGTGATCTATTCAACTGAGTGGCTTTTAGCACACTGTGAATACACAATAAATGTTTATAAATGGCAACATTAAAATAGGGCAAAGTTTAATAGACAAAAAGTCCCAGACTCCCCAAAAGTGACTCAAGAAACACAAGTTATCTATATGTTTATCTTTCTATATCTATATGTTTATCGGACTAACCAGGCAAGTTCTCCCTTAGGGCCAATTTAACTCTAAGGTGGATTATGTGTTAATTTGTGAAGGTGTTAGTTACAATATAATGTAACATCCCCCTTTTCCATCTCAGCATTCTTTGTGGCAGACTGCTAGAGATTACATTTCCCAGCCCCCGCTATGGCCATGTCTGGCCATGTCGCCAAGTTCTGAGTGATGAGTCCGGCTTTATTTTTCTTCATAGTCACTTACCATTACATTACCTATCTATTCCTATGTTCACTGTCTCCTCCACTAGGATGTAAGAGCCAAAAGATGGGGACACTGTCTTATTTTCTGTCATATTCCCAGCATTTGTCATGTACGTGTAAATAAGGGGGTACACGCATAAAGGAATAATTGCAAAGATACAGGAATTATTAGGTATTACAGGACATGTGAGTCCCAGTATTTCTGTAATGAGAATGAGTAATAGGCATCATCAGGGGGAGTTTAGGCTGATTTGGGTTACCAGTTGAGCTTGCATGACTACCCTCTCTGTGCACTCTTAGCATTCATATTTTCAAAGAGAGGGAAACTTTCTGGGTTGATTCCAGTCGATGGAATGGAGGATCCTTGTTGTGGAGAGCTTCATGCCACTTCAAAAGGTTGGCCTTTCTCATATCCAAACTAACTATACAGCTAGTTTTTGGCTCAAGTATCTATCTAGGTCCAGTTATCAGTGGTCAACACAGCATTGTTGGTTTCACTTAAAATACAGTGGCAGCCCTAACCGGTTTGGCTCAGTGGAGAGAGTGTCGGCCTGCGGCCTGCGGACTGAAGGGTCCCAGGTTTGATTCCGGTCAAGGGTGTGTACCTTGGTTGCGGGCACATCCCCAGTGGCGGGTGTGCAGGAGGCAGCTGATCAATGTTTCTCTCTCATCGATGTTTCTGACTCTGTCCCTCTCCCTTCCTCTCTGTAAAAAAATCAATAAAATATATATACAAAAAATACAGTGGCATGAGTCATAGCAACATTGTGCAGAAAGACCATCTATCTATCCTCACAAAACTATGGTGAATATTGCTGGCACTCCCATGCTTTCAAAAGTGAATATTGTCCTTTTCACTGCATAGGGAGTTGTATTTGTATTATATGTGTTTCAAATGTACTTGAAAACATTTTTAGATGTCCTGATTTGAAGTGTCAGAAGGATACAATGGACATATATAGACTAGTATTCCAAAGACCTGGGTTCAAGAACACCACATAGCAGCTCTGTGACTCTGGATAAATCATTTCATCTTTCTGGGTCTCAGTTTCCTCATTTGTGGAAAGAGGTGGTGAGGTAAGATGACGTAAAGGTCTCCTCCAGGTCCAATATTTTATGACTCAGTAATTACTTTCAGAGCTTTCACAGATAATTTGTGACCATTCCCAATCATACCAAACATCCTCTTTTTGAATGCAGATTTGACTTTTTGGAACAGATAAAATTTATCAGTGCCATGCCTATTAATACCATGTATGACAAAGGTAGATGATATTGTTTTTAAATCATGGAAAGGTCATGCCTTCTTTGCCTTTATTTCTGAATATTCATTTCCAAGCAGCAGAAACCCAACACAAACTGCCTTACGCGAAGAGAAAATTACTGGCTCATATATTAAGAAGTTCAGGTTCTTCAGCTTCAGTCACAGCTTGATCCCGGAAGTCAAATGATATTACTAGGACTCACATTTGGTTTTCTTATCTCTCAGATCTGCCTTCTGCTGTTAGTTCCATTCTCAACCACGTTTCCATTGGCTGGCAGTGGATGAAATGGCTGAGAATGTTGGTCCTGCTTGAGTCACTTGCTTGTTAGGAAACGATAATGACCAGGAGAATTCCTGAATTGGTTATACCTGAGTCACATGCTCGCCCTTCAAGTCGGGAAAATTCAGTTCTACTTGAATCACAGGAACTGAACATGGCAAAAAGGCACTACCCCAAATAACGTCCTTGTGCCGATCCCAAAAAGGTATAATGGATGCTGAACATGAAGAGAGGGGGAGGGAGGGAGAGAGGGGTGGAGGAAGGGAGAGAGGGAGAGAGGCAAAGGATGGAGAGAGAAGGAGAGAGAGAGAGAGAGAGAGAGAGAGAGAGAGAGAGAGAGAGAGAGAGAAGAGAGAGAGAGAGAGAAGAGAGAGAGAGAGAGAGAGAGAGAGAGAGAGAGAGAATGAATATCACTTGTTGCATTAGACCAGTGGTCGGCAAACTGCAGCTCGCGAGCCACATGCGGCTCTTTGGCCCCTTGAGTGTGGCTCTTCCTAAGCCTTAGGAGGACCCTAATTAAGTTAATAACAATGTACCTACTTATATAGTTTAAGTTTAAAAAATTTGGCTCTCAAAAGAAATTGCAATCGTTGTACTGTTGATATTTGGCTCTGTTGACTAATGAGTTTGCCAACCACTGGTCTATGATTAGACAAATTCGTCCCTTAAAATGTTTCTCCTTTCCTGTTTTTATTGCAGTATAGGCACTCTCTGTCTCATGGTAGTTTCCTATTGAATGTCTTTGCCTCTAGTCATTCCCACTCAAGTACATTCTAGGTCAGGGGTGGGCAAACTTTTTGACTCGAGGGCCACAATGGGTTCTTAAACTGGACCGGAGGGCCGGAACAAAAGCATGGATGGAGTGTTTGTGTGAACTAATATAAATTCAAAGTAAACATCATTACATAAAAGGGTACGGTCTTTTTTTTTTTTTTTTTTTAGTTTTATTCATTTCAAACGGCCGGATCCGGCCCGCGGGCCGTAGTTTGCCCACGGCTGCTAGGTACTGCCACCACATTACTCTTTCTAAAGCATTGTTTTCATAATTTCACTCTCCAGCTCAAAATCTTACAGGAACCCTCTTCGGACTACCTGTCTGGCATTTATGATCTTCTCCAATCTGAGTCCCACATATTTTCCTACCTTATCTGTCTACCTGCACTCGTTCCATGTGCTAACCAATCTGCATTGCTCACCATCACTGAACACACTGTATGATTTCCTTACAATACATTTACTCTATTTGCATATTCTACCCCATCACCATTTCTCTCATCCGAAGTCAGAGCTCAGATGATAAGCCGGAGACTGCTAATTGTCTCCAGTATTTGTTCTCCCCTTCTCCTTTAACATTAGAACCACTGATTTTCTGCTGGGGACATGGCCACTTAATAGAGACTACATATGTCAACATCACTTACAGTTAACTTCTGACCAACAAGGTGTAAGTGTAGTGATGCATACAACTTCTGCAAGTGTTCTTAAATAGAGGCGTGTGTTCTTTTCTGCCCCCAACCCCTTTCTACTATCTGGAAATAAGGATGTGAGGGCTGGAGCCTGAGCAGCCAGCATGGACTATAAGGTAGAAACTACATGTTCAGTATGGTGGAGACACATGATAGAAAGAGTCTGTGTCTGTACCATACCAACCCCGGACCTCTTACACTTACATGAAAGGAATACATTTTATTTTAAGCTACTGTTATTTTGAGTTCTTAATTGCTACAAAAACCAATCTCTCCCTGAAAATATATTATTTTCCATTCAAAATCTAAGCAAAGTGGGAGGAATTATTTTAAGGGTATAAGGATTTCTCATAGAATCTATGGGCAGTGATAAAGGAAGCCTCAGAAATAAACTAGAACTGAAACACCGTGGGGAAGCCAGGAAGTCCTCCCATTTTCTCCTTTCTCCTTCTCTTTCCTCCTTCTGCAGATTATTTATGTACCGGCATAGAGAAGCAATAAATAAATGTGTTTAATGGATGGTAACTCGTGTGTCTGCGAAATAAACTGGATCTGAAGCCAGTTTTCAAAACATTTCCTTATATGTATGTGGTTTGTTAACGTGACTCTTTTGAAGGAAACCATGCTTTTTTAGAGTCTGAGCTCCTCTCAGCCCTCAGATCTCTTCAGCTGTTTATTCCAACTTCAGAAAAAGGGCCTGAACTGCAGTGTTGTCCACAACTGACCCAATGAAAGACACTTTAGAGACGGCCATGCTTTTGTACAGGAGTTGCAAAGGCAACATTTTATGGGAATGTGAGCAGTGAGCACTGGCCCACAAGTTACTATTTTGCTAGACAAGGAAATGACAGATTGCTCTTGGTACCTTTTTTTCTGTAACCAGCTTTAAAAAACAAACAAACACCTTTGCATTGCTAGTATTTACTGTTGGGGTTCCTGGTTACCTGGTTTGGGCCCTTGAGGGCTTCTTATGTTTTTGATATGTTTGATAAGATGTTTTACATATTTTATCGAGCATTTTGAGTTGCTTTTGGTGGGAGAACCGAACAATCTCTAGACTGCCATACTGCTGGACATGGAGTCCTGTGTGCTTTCTAAAGGGTTTTAACTGAGTGTCTAACATTCTTATAATGTGCCCCGGTCTCTGCTTCGAGGACACTTAAGTGTTCTTATAGGTAACTACTCATATCGCTCTTCACATTCTCAAACTATGCTAGCAGGTTAAATATGTGAAAGGAAACACCACTACATATATTCCAAAGAGCCTTATGGATGGCTTGAAAATAAACCAATGTAGGACTTAGGTATACGGCTATTGCTTACTATTTCCCATAGATACACAACATCTCAGATCTTATGCAGAGTATATCATAGGGCCTGTCCTCTAAACATTTATATACCAAGACAGTACATCCCCATGTATTTCCTTCATTCATTCTGCATTTATTGAGCTAGTCCTTGTGCCAGTTCTCAAGAAGCTCATAGTAATTGGGAAAATAGACAAAACTACAATTAGCATTCTATGGGATAAGTGCTAAAAAGCGGTAAGGTGGTATGGGAACACAGTTAGGGGCACCTACCTCTTACGGGTGTGTGGGTAGGACAGGGCTGGGTGACAAGCCACGTGGAAGGGTTGACAACGGAATTGATACCTGGGTTGCATAATAAAGGATAAGCAGGAATTAGGTAGGTAAGGAAGAGGTGGAGGTTCAGGATGTAACAAGGAAAAGGAGCAGCATACGCAAAAGCAAGATGTTTGAGAGTGTGGCAAGATTGGGGAACCCGAGTAGTTTGCTGCATGTTGAGTTTATTGATTCCACTTAGTTGTTATTGACATATTTGTCTCCTGCACTGTGTTTGATTCTTTGTGCTAGAGATTGTAATGGTGTCTCTGTTCCCATGTCCAACAGTAGGCACATAGATGGAGCACAACAAATGTTTGAATGACCTGACATGAATGACATAATATAAGAAAGGATAATTAGGAGTCCATTAATAAGGAAGGTCATATTTAGTGGCAGTGAATATGAGATGAGATAGATTTAAAAATTATTTGGAAATTAAAATGGCTAGGACTTGATCTATTGGAGTTGTGGTATAAAAAAGTAAATAATGACTTTCTAAGTTTCTATTTGGATTATAGGTGGATGATAATAGTAATAATGTTAAAACTAATATTCATTAGGCATGTGTCACGCAGTACACTGTGTTTTACATTATTAAACCATAACCTCTCAACAGCTCAGTGAGGTAGGCTCTCTTCACCACCCCCCTTTCCTGATGAGAACATGGGGGCCATTAGAGATCACCTTGCCCAAGGTCACACAGCCAGGGGTGGCAAATTCCAATCCAGCAATTCCGATTCCTACGGACATGCACATGCCCTAGTCTTCACTGACTCTGAAAGACGTGATCACTATGCAGAATGACGGTCCTGTTCCAGATGTGTATCCCATAAATCGCGGGGATCCCCGTATCCCTTTTACTAAACATAAAAACGCATAGGGTGACTGCCTCCTTTTTATCGGATTTTGGGAGCTTCGTTCTGTAGCTCCACTTTTCCTCTTTAAAGGACCTAAAGTGGGGTGCAAGTTGGATGACAGTTGACACGAAAGATGAGAGACGGCAGGTACAGAAACGACATTCTGGAATGCTCTAGCCGCTGCTGGAATGATGGGATCTGGGTTCTATGGGACGCTCCTTCCTGCCCTCCCCCAACACACACACACACACACACACACACACGCGGTGAGGCGTGACGCCAGGTCTCAGGTTGAACAGTCCTCAACTCACATCCACGGTTCACCTCCCGACTCCTGTGAGCCCATCACACCCGCAGTGAACCCGAGACCGCCCGCCCGGCCCAAGGAAACACTGCCCAGGGCCGGCTCGCTCGGTTCCCAGGGAACCCGCCCGCGGAGGCACCTGGAGGGCCCCCCCCGCAACCCGCGCCCCGGCACCTGCGCAGAGCCCCGCCTGGAGCCAGGGGCCCGGGAGCGCGTGGGGCCCCCGGCCCCGCCTCTACTCCGACCTTAGCTCCTGATTGAGTCAAGGTTCCGCTAAAGTTCCTAAACCCTATTTGCCGCCCGCTGTACCTTTTAGCGAGAGGGATTGAACAACTTGCTTCTGTAGACAGCGTTGTTACCTCTTCTGGAGTATGGAACCGTTGGCGTATTCAATTCATAGATACATTTTATATCAAGA